AGCACTATAACCAACAAAGGTTAAGGTCTGACTACTCGTTCACCTTCGGATTTATGCTATTCGTAAAAAAAAATGACCATTGCATGGTGCAAAACTTGTAATATGATTAAAAACAAGCAAAAGTTCCCTTGGAACTTGTTACGCTTCTTTCACTTTCGATAACGCGCAACGTAACCGAAGAGGGAACACAGTTTACAAACGTCCGATACAAGTGAAAGGGATACTTTTATAAAATAGATCGAAAGGAGGTGTGTGCCATATTAGTGACTCAGTTTCTGTATAAACCGGACATCTTTGATCCAATCTCCAAATGATTTCGTGAAATTTCGAGGAATTTTGCATTGAAATAACAAGTTTCATAAATACAGTATAGATGTGCATTTATGCACGCGCGCGCGTCTGATACGTACATGCGTTTGTGCACGCATTGTGCGTGGGAATGCCGAGGAAACTGAGTCATAAAAAGAATTTGTCAAAAAACTTGAACGCGCGGTATAATTTCTATTTGTTTTATGATAATATAACAAACTACCTTCAGAGGACACGTTGAAACTCTTCTCAGAAACTATTTTACTTCTCGAGTCGATTATTTATCGAAAGTGCCATTTCGATTTCTGAATCGACGGGGAATAACGTGTTGAAAAGAAATAAAAAGCAGTCGGCCAAGCAAGAACTATTCGTCAACTTACTCGCTCACACGTTCGTTCGGCTTCGTACTCTCAATCTTTAAATCGTTATCGACATACATGTATAGCCGCGGTACTCACCTGATGATCGCGTATGGCATTTTTCAGTTTAGTTTGCACAGTGAGTATTTCTTCTTGCAAACTCTTCGATATCTCCATATTTTTCTATTGAGATTAGTCGTTTTTCCTCCCTGTTCAAAAATCCAGCCGATTTTAGCGAGAGAAGAGGAGGACGGGAAACCCCTCCTCCCTCTCACTCTCACTCTCCCACCAAATTGACGAGAGCAGCGGTATACGCTCTGATCAACCGCACGCACGGCGCGCACCAGCCACCAACTCTTCGTGCCACCGCAACGACACTTGATCGTTTTAACTTAAGAAAACCGAACAGGTAAAAATGTCACAGATACATTTTATCAGTTCGTTACGTACGTACATATGCACACCCTTATTTCACGACACCGATCAGGCGAAACAACGTCGCGAAACCACGCACCAAAGTGAATTGTTCGCTCATCAACGAGCGTCTGTGCTGCCACCAGCACTGTTGCCTCCGTACGCGGACGTGCCAAGTTGCTCGAGATCCCCTGACACCCCTTACCCACGATCCTTCGCTCTTTCTCTTTCCCTCTTTCTTCGTTCCTCTCGCTGCGTTGTATGCCCAGGGATCCGATGCGCTCCTTGAAAGAAAGTTTTCGCGCCAAGCTTATAACCGGTACATGTGCCACGTGAAACAACCTATCGCTTTACATTACAATTTTTCCATGCACGTTGTTCGCGTATCTTGTACAACCACTATGAACTACGCTTAGAAATTCAGGAAAACACAGGATGTTCAAAGAAAACATTTCCTTGAAGTAGATCTTTTACGATAGTGAACGTTGGTAATGCCGACGATAGTGGCGCCACATATTTGTGATTACGAAACGAAACGTTGTTCGTGATAGGAGACAAGCTCGTTCTATGATACTCGAAGATATATTTCAGAATTTTCACATTTAATGACGTGTCTCAGCATGGCTGCTTTCATTAGGCATATGAAGTTAAATTAGCATCTATATCGACTCTTCTTAACTAGTTCCTAGATATACGAACTTACGATAATGAAAATTTTATATATAGAGTGCGCTAAATTATTACTATTCTACATAATTATTTTTATACTTATGACGATATAAAATAATTGTGTTTTGTATGTCAGAAAACATAAGAAATACACTTTAAATGTTTGAGGCAATTGTAATATAGTTATTCAATATTTGATGTTGTAGTGAAAAAAATGTGTGCGGTGTGTGTGCGTGCGTGTGTGTGTGTGTGTTTGTGTGCGTGTGTGTGTATGATGTATATATGTATGTATGTACGTATGTATGTAGGTATGTATACGAAAAAGTACGTTATGCAGTGTTCATTTTTTTTTTATAAAATACAATGCGTCAGAACATTGTAAATTATTAATTTTTATTCTATGAAAATACATTAAAGTTATTTAAACTTTTATTATATAAATTAAATAAAAAAAGGAAAATATATTGAAAAATATAAAGTTTAAATCGATGATTTGCACGTGACAATAATCACGTGATCACACATAACATACCTATCTTATAGGCTAGTTTAATACATATAGAGTATATTTTCATCCCTCATATGATAAAAATTTAATTACGATTATATATTAAAATAATTATATGTTAATATTTATCGATAAATTTTATCGATCTCGAATCCAGAAACTTTTTGACGATTTTGAGATCTTATGAAAAAAAACACCGAGAAATAAACATGATTAAAAATATTATGGTATACATTGATAATGTATTTTATTATTGTAATTCCACTATATTTTCAGATATATATAGTTTCTGACTCTTTTCTTTTAATTTATACATGATATGTATATATAAATAATTTGAAACTATATATATATATATATGTTCAATACACATCAATGTAAATTACCAAAATATATAAATTATTTAATTTTTTTATATGTTTAACTCACTTCACTGTATTTTCATATTTATTTCCGTAAATATAGAAAAGTAATAACTTTAAGCTAAATATTTATAAAAATCATTATGTTTAAATTATAGAAATAGTCTACAAGTTTATAATACTTATTGCGTTTAAAATTGCTTTAAAAACGATTTGTTACCTTAATGCTGTACTTGGAATTTGAAATAAGTTTATATCACATACACATTACGTAAAATAGAACTAAAATATTATAATTTGTCGTTTAACCTTTCAAGATTTAGTTTGTTCCTTGGCTATATAGCACGATTGTGATTGAAGAAAAGCGCATGCGCGAAGCTGAAAATTGTGTTTAGTATTAAACTTTCTTCAAGTTCTTATGTATATTAAGTACGTACTGTAATGTAAGCATAATAAATTAATTTAAATTAAGTCTCCTATAATTGCATGTATTTGATAAATGTTATGATATAATTTAATTTATTTCTGAGTTACTTTAAAAAATCGATATTTTTTACTTTGGCAAATTGTAAGGTTATATTAAGAGTTTTCTTTTATATACATATTTAGAAATGAATATCTCATTATCTCATGAATATCTCTTTAAAATTAATGTTGTATTATGATTATTTAATATAATAAATTTTCCTATACTTTATACTTTTTAAAATTAATTATGTATGTAATTGTAATGTATGTAAATGTAATACATAGAATTTTCTTATATGTTTGTAAATAACCTTACAATATTTATCAAATATATATTAGTATTATTATATATATTATTAGTAAAGAAATCTTAATTATTTTAGTGTTTATAAGAAAAAAAAAATACTGAGTATTTGTAGAATATGTTTACAGAAATGGCTGGTAAGAGGCCTGCATCTACAGACCTAAATCATGATAATTGGGACGATGAAGAAAGACCTGAAGAAGCAGGAACGTTTAAAAAAGCTACTGATGATGTAATGGAAAAACGTATTGTTAAAAAAGCTAAGAGACGTTTACAAAATTTAGAAGTAAATAACTTTTACTTTTCATATTTTTTACCTTACAGTATATATATATATTTTTAACATTTTTCAGGATACTACCAGAAGTGCATTTGGTACATTTAGAGGTTTTAAAACAAGTTCAACTCATGCTTCACCCTTTAGTTTTTTAGCTAGTGGTAATACTAGCACTAGTACTAATGAAATTTCTTCTAAAACAACTGCAAATGTAAACAAGTCTTCTACAAATAATGAAACAATAAAAACCAATGAAAATGGAACTAATAAAAAGGAAAATACAGAAATACAACAAACTTCATCAACTATATCTACTAGTAAAAATAGCAGTTCTGATCAAGAAGAACAAAATACATTTAAAAAATCTGATTACTTTGCTAAATTAAAAGGATTAAATGAAAGTGTAGCACAGTGGATTAAAACTCATGTTGATGCAAACCCATTTTGTATTTTGACGCCAATTTTTAAAGATTATGAAAAGTATCTTAAAGAAATTGAAACCAAACATGGAAGTGAGATTGAGAAACCAATACAAACACAATCTAGCGATAATAAAGAAACTACTAATACAGACAAAAAGAATGAAAGCTCTCCATTTGGAGGAACTAGTGGAAAGTCGCCTTTTACTTCTACAGAATGGAAACCTGAAAAATCAATTTTTGGTAATATTAGTGCAGGTTCTAAATCTATATTTGGAAAATCAGAAAATAGTGTAGATACTGGTAAATCCATTTTTAGTAGCACAGATCAAAGTTCAGATTCACATAAATCTGTTTTTGGTAATATTGATCAGAAATCTAGTAGTAAAAATATATTTGGAAGTACAAATCCTGAAAAAAATCCATTTTTGAGTAAACCATCTATCACACCTGATAAATTAGATGAGCAAGAAACTAAATCAGATGTGAAATCTACTATTACTACCACTAATACTACTACTAGTAGTTCTTTTGTTACATCAAATACAACTACCTTCTGTTTTGGTCAAAGTTCTGCCACCAATAATACATCAACTGGTTTTAGTTTTGGAAGGTAATTTATTTAAAATTTTCAATATAATACAAATATTTTAATAATGTAATTTTGCAGTACTAAGCCATTTACATTTGGAGCTCAAGTAGTTCAACCACAAGAACCTGAGGATGAAGGAAAAGATGATGAAGATGATGAACCACCAAAAGTAGATTTCAAACCAGTAACAGAAGAGGGCGCTATATATGAACAAAGGTACATCCAACATTTCTAATTAACCAACATTAAAAAATAAAAGGCATGTATTGGTTTTAAATTGGATATGAACATATCCTTACACTTTTTACAGGTGTAAAGTTTTTATTAAAAAGGATGGTAATTTTACTGCTCGAGGTGTAGGAACATTATTCCTAAAACCAACTCCAAATGAAAAAACACAATTATTAGTGCGAGCAGAAACTTCTTTGGGGAATTTATTGCTCAATACTTTATTAACCGAAAGTATTCCAACGAAACGTATGAACAAAAATACAATAATGTTAGTTTGTTTACCGATGCCTGAATCTACACCACCTCCAGTACCAATTTTATTGAGAGTAAAAACAGATGAAGATGCTGATGCATTATTGGAAGCACTCAATAAACATAAAAAATAAAAAAAGAAATAGGAATTTTAAATAATATGAAATACAATAAAAAAAGAAATATAATAAAATCGTGTTGAATAATAATTGATAAATTTTTGAAGGCGAAAATACAATTTTGTTGTTATACATATTCATTGTAATATTTTGACTTGACTCGATATATAATGTAATGTAAAATAGTATGTCATACATATTTTTTATTATACGAAAGATACATTCTGGTATCAGTAATAAAAATAATTAGGATCTGTAATTGAAACAAAATAAATATTAATCAGATTTAGGATTTGAAGTTCATACATTATTTGGTATTTGCATAGAAAGTGCTTTTACACTAACAGAAATATCTAATTAAGTGTATATATTCAAATTCATTTTTTCTGTGTATAATTCTATAAATATAGATAACAGTAACTCTTCAAATTAAATCTAATTGTTTTCATATTACTATTTTCTTATTTAAAATAATTTTCCATTTTATACAGAATTGTTTTTGTCAAATGTATTGTACATATTTTTCCAATATATGTTTTCCAATAAAATTCATGTAAATAGAATTTAAACATATATGATATTTTGTATGTTATTTTGAAATATAAAATATCTTACACCTTTTATGTTTATAATTTATTACATTAAATGATTAATATCCTTTGTTTTTCCACATAAAATAATTCTTTTTTTACTAAAGTTTATAAGAGAAAATATAGAAGAATTGCAATATATCTTGAACAATTAAAAGAATTACTCATATTTGAATTATTTTATATCAATATTGCATATATAATTGGATCAAATTTGTATTTACTTTATTAAAAATATATGTATGAGAAATAAGTACAACATTTATATAAATTTATTTACGATAATTATGATTCATCATTCAAATGGAATCGGACAAATTTTTATAACCTATGTTCTTAATTCAGTGTATTAGTAACAATTCTAAAAATAGAACCATTAAGTGGATTTACAATATTTTAAATAAATTATCACATATCATATTAAACATTTTATGATTTTTCAAAATAAGACATTGATATAAATAAAAAATTGTTAGCTAGTGTGAATAAAATAAATGTAAAAATTTTATATTTTATATCATTTATAGTGTATTTACAATTGGTTCTGCCATATTCGTGCATATACCTAATGTACATTTATCGAAAATTATTTTTCAAAATACTACTGTATTAATTATATATTAATTTTAGCCATTATTTATAAGCAGAAAATGTTAAACTTTTTTTTTACAAAAGAATTTCTTTCGCTGCCATAAATTTTTATATAAAGTTAATGAAAATTGCCATTGCAAAATGCACGCTTTATTTACAATAGCCACATTAATTTATTTTCGATTTAATAATTTATAGATATTTAATTACTTATTGTATAGAAATCGTAAAGTTGACATGTAAATCTTTTAAACATGAACATTTTTAAATGTTTAATGCAATTAACAGCACAGCACATTATTCTAAAACTCATTTAGAATGTTACTTAAAAAACAATTGTTATATGTATTCTAGTAAGATAGGTACTCTTTAATGATGATATGCCCTATACAAAAAGATAATAAAATAAAGTTGGATTTTTTCTTACATAAAATAGTGTAATATTATAGTTTATATCTATTTTAATATTGTACATTTTTCTGAAAGTATTAGTGAAAATTACTTTCATATTTGCTAAGCTCTTTGAGCCATAAATGGCGTTAAAGCACCTCTTTGCCCCAGACCTAATTGTATATGTTGCATATGTATTTCCACACAATTTTGGAAAACTTGTTGATTTTGTGGACTTAATTTCGCACGTATTTGTTCCATTGTGCCTTGTAACACTTTTAATTCATATGCATTGCGATCTGAATCAGATAAACTCTATAACACAAAGAAAATTGTGTAACAACAAAACGATATTCATGTTAAAATATTTCAGATTACCTTTACTTGAAGCATAAGAGCTGTTAAATCTGTTACTAATTGAGACATCTTTCCAGGTTCTCTATCATTGACACTATTATGTCTCGCAATCATATCTGCAGCTTCCTGTCTACATTTTTCACGTAGATGAGAAGGAGCTAACATAGCTGCCACACTAGGCTCTGGAGCCATTTCTTGACAAAGCTCTTGAACGTCATTAAGAAAATCTTGTAAAGCGGTATTCATCTTTTCCAACTCAACCACGATACTAAAGTTATAATTATTAATAAAAAAAAAAAGGAAAGCATAAAATGTAAAATATGACAATAATATATTCATCATTTACCCTGCATATCTTCTTTCAAAGTCTGATGGAAGTAGTTCTCCAAAAGAACGTCTTTTTTCTACCTCGCTATTCATTTCTTTCAATTTCTTAATTTTAACTTTTTTAGCAGCCAATATTTTATTTACTTTAACCATAAATTCCAATAATTTTAAAGGATAACCATTCATTGTTCCACCAATATGAGGCTTTTTTGGTAAAGACAGCGAAGCATTTGATATTAAAGGATCGCTGTTTAAACGCGGTGACATTAATTTCATAGCATACGGTGGAGATGGTACATATTGTACATGTCGTGGTCTAAACTTTTGTGCAAACGAGGCTACACTTATTGTTTCTGGTGGTTCATTTGACTATAAATAATAAACAAATATATAACAATAAAATTGCAATGAATTTGTTGTCCAAAGTACATATATACGAACCAATACTTCATAATCGGGAACACTATGCGTTCCAAGCCCGGCACGTTCAAATGTAATTCTATAAGTATTATTACTAGTATCCACAGCATCGATACTTCCAGTAAATAAACCATCTTGTGGTTTTCTCAGTCTTGCTGTAACTTTGGTTCCTATTACTAACTGTAATGGTATTTCTGGTGGTAAATCTTTGAAACTGTTAACATCTGCAGCTTTTCTTTGCTGTAACATTCGAATTTTTTGTCTTTTTCTTTCTAATTCTCGTCTTTCTTCCTCAAAAAATGACTGTGAACATCTTCGTGGTTTACCCATCATTCTTCTTATCTTGCACCATTCAACTCGTGTTAATTTCCGAGTTTTTAATTGTGGAAAAGATTCTTTTAAACAAATCATAAAATCATTGTCCCCTTCAAAAAGAGTCCTACATAAAATAAATAAAATTTAATCATATTACATTAAATTGTGTACATATATATATGGATTCATTTCTTTTTTCATACATACTTATCAATGTTACTATAAAACCACTCGTAACAAACCCATTTGTGTGCTTTTGGTAATTTCAATAAATTTCTTAATCTCATACCAATCTTTTGTCCAATTTTACGATCCGGAGATGAAGGTTGTATTGGTTTATCAGGTTCTTTCTCTTGTTTAATAGGAGTCAGTGTAGACGATATGGGTTGGCTTAATATATTATTTTTCCTTGGTTCATTAGTTACTCTATTTTGCTTTTTTGCAGGAGATGGTCTAGATACCTTTTTAGGAGAGTGTTTTGTATCTGGATGTGATGGATCCTTTTTAATTCTAATAAATAAGTAAATTAATATATATATCTTATATTGATAATATTGCTCATAATGTTAAATACTTACCTATGATGAGGATGGTTAACTAATATATCATCATAAAATAATTTATTTTTCTTTCTAATTCTTGCTGGCATTCCTCTTCGATTTAAAACTTGGACTGGTTGGCTAGGAGGATTTGGTTTTGGGGGCGGTTGACTACCTACTCTTTGTAAACCCAAAGCAGCAGGTCCAAGTTCAGGGATTGGATCAGATTCTTCAGTGTCCATATGTGAATCCGTTGAAGTATTTGAAATTTGTTGATCATCCATATCCATCGTATCATCATCAATCACTTCACTTTTGATCTCATCAACTGATGGGTATCCTCCATTTTTTATAGATAATAATGTTTCGGCAGATTCATCTAGGATGAAACGATTATTTACACATAAAAGAAGAATACTTATATAGTAACAATGTTTTTACAAATAAGTAAGAAGTTTTTCTTTTATTTCTTTTAGATTACGATCTACCTTTCATGATTAGAAAGTATCATCAACAAATTTGACAACTGCACTTATAATTATTATTTGTATATAAGAAAATACAATCAGTCATTATTATAAAAAGTATTTTTCAATAAAATAATATTTCATGTTATTTTTAAAAAGTTTGAAAATTCTAGTTCATAACATTATATAGCTATAAGTTTTTGAAGATTCATAAATTATGAAAAAATTGATGCACAAAATTATGAATAATATTAAATATAATTATTCGTTTATAAATATAAAATGAAGATTTCTTTGTGTTTTTCTAGATCTATTAATAAAAATTGTTGAAATTGAGAGTTCAGAAAGAATTACGAAAGTCATTCTGCTCGTAGCTGTCGACATAACCAAACTTATACGTAGTTCCGTAAATACTATGTGTACTTATCGCATTATAACTAAAGTTATAGAATAAGTATTATTACAAAAATAACAAACTATACTGTCAAATATTTGCCCTTGAAGTATCGTTCAATAAATGAAATCTCAAATGATAAAGCTCTTCATTGTCCCGCTTGAATTGTGTATTGGTCATTTTTGAAATTTTAAACCAGACCTTTCTGAGCGCAATTAAAACATCAACTCTAAGACCCTTAACACGTTAGAGGAAGATCTTACACGTTAATAATATAAATTTTAAAACATTTCTTACTCTTGTATAATTACTTTTTGTTTTTAATTAGGCCTTATTATATTAATTTTATCAAGAATAAGTTAACTTTTACTCACTTTCAATCATCTCCGCCATGTTGCTATCAATGATGCATCATGGGTATGTGTTTCCGTCGAGCTCGCCCGCTTCGCGGTGAATTTCGTTAGTGGTTCTTTTCCATCGTTCCAAACGCTATGATTGGCTAACGAACATCTTTGATTACTGAAACAAACTTTGTGGAATTTTTAAATGCACATTAAACATCTTGCACAATGAAATGAGAACAAACTCAATAAAATTTGAACAAACTCAGCAAAATTATTATTAGAATGAAATTATTTATATCTATGTGTAGATATTATATATATCGTCATTAAATGTAATTGAGACATATATACTCTGAACTTAGCTATTTTACTTCAATATTTTAATATTAATCTTAATATGATACAAATAAATTTCGTTTGGTTATTAATGATTTCATCAGTTAGTACGGATGATATTGTTTCAATCGAACAATCTGTGGCACCTATCAAATACTGTAGGAATAAGGATAGATTAGCAACGTCCGAGGAGAATGATGAATATTTACTTATTAGCGCCGAGATCGATACAATTATCGTGATGGAATGTCGATTTTGGTACAAAATACTTTATTTTGTTGATGAAAAAGTAAAGATTTTGCTATTATATTTGTTTTGTACGATAGCAACGACAAGGAAGAGAGACAGTCAAAAATTTGGTACTATCAAGATCGATTCAAAGAGACTGTTGAAAAAGAGATTGAATTAGGAATGGATAACAATGTGTCGTTCAATAGGATTTACACGACTTCAGATCTTTCTTTAGTAGTTAAAGAAATTGCGGTAACAGACGCTGGCATTTACTTGTGCCATGGTAAGGAAGGGCAGGAGATTGAAAATAAATTCAATTATAGACTTGAACGTAATCAGACTCTTACTATTCAGATACAGTTAATTTCCAGACATAATTAATCGAATAAATTTATTTAATGATTTATTTAATGATAGCGATCTTCGAAGAGCACGGAGTTTTGCATACAGAACAAGGGAACATAACTGATTGGGAGAAATATCGTGAAATATATTTAGCATCAGTTACCACACGATTTGCCGTAACATTTGTCATCATTAATTTCACTCAGGATTAATACGAAATATAATTTAAACAAATACTTGCCCTTCGTGTTTACATTTATGTAATTTTAAATTAGGTTTCCCAAATGTTTGAATTGGCTGAAATTCGAGAAGTTGGGATAACCCTTCAAGTTATTTCTGAATGGGCACCTTGGAGCCCATGCGAACATTGTGTACGTAATCGGGGAATCAAGAGGAGTGTTGGAAATTGTCGATTAAAACGACAAATAAATATGGTAAGAAACGAGGACAACGAATTGCAAGATTAAAAAAAGACGATTTATGATATATGTATTGTATTATCGTAGACCATTGCCAACAAAAGCGATTCATCTATAGTTAAGTTTTTCCAAAAATCTCCTTCGTTACCCTGCAAGTAAGCAAACTTACTTTCTGTTGCAAAAAAAAGTAAATTTCAAGTACAAACAAATTTTTACTCATAACATCATGGATTTAAGAGCAATTCTACTCGAAGAACAATTTCCTGCTGTTAGTAGCGCAGTGCGCCATTTGCCGGAATTCATTTTAAAGGAAGTATGTAAAAAATGTCCTCGCGTGAAAAAAGTGAAAGATCGCAAGTTTAAATACATTAAACGATTCGTACTGGCAGAAGGAGCTTATCTTACAATCGTTTGCCCAGAGTAATTTAATGTTTGAGCAATTATGAAAAACATTGTTTGTAACAAAATTCGAACATTGTAGATCAACTATGGAAACCAAAGTGTCATGGAAAAAAGATGGGATTACATTGGAAAAAGGTGTTCGACAATCATTTCGCAAATTGAATTCAGAAGCTCGCGTGATAGTAGACGCCTTTGGAACACTTTATCTGATAGGTATTTTCAATGGATAAACTGCACGTTGTATTTAATAGTATTTCACATTTTTCTATCCACATATCAGATGTTTCCACGCATGAAGAAGGGAATTACACGTGCTATATCAATAACGTTAACATGATGCAAATAAAAGTGATAGTTATTCATAAAACTAGACTGTTAACTCAAGGTAAAATTAAATCTAATCAATTGTACAATACAGTGGGATAATTAATTACAATATCCTCTCCCTTTATAGAATTTTTACGTCATTTGGGATATCTAGGATTCATATTTCTACTTTGTTCATTTTGTTACTGCAGTGGTCTTGTTTATACGTACAAACAAAGAGATAAATTTGTTCCAAAAAGAGATACAACTGACAAAGAAGAACATATCCCATTTATTGACTAAAGTGACTCAAGAAGTGGTAGATAACAAATTGTTGATAACAATTGTGCAAACTGTTTACCGATCGAGTTGACACTCTTTAAATGAGTTTTCTTGGAGCTTCCTGAACAGACGATGACCTTAAAGGCCTGGCCGAGTGAAAGGAGGCAGTGGAAGGGACAACTGCATGGAGTGCCTGCTCATTTCTCGAAGTTACAGTTTAGTTTCAAAATGGCTGAGTTTGATCGTTCTTATTCTTCTGCGTTAGTTCACGAGTGAGAAAGTCGTTTAATTAAAAATAAACGTATTCACAAAGAGATTCGCGATACCATGAACTTAAGGACAGAGATTTTCGTGTTGTTCGCGATCTTTTGCCTGGTTCTATTTCAGAGCGCAACCGGTGAGTTTCATGCACAGCACAGATAGTATCTATACATACATGTATCTATGTACTGTGGACAATGTCATACTTTCACCGCATACCGGATAGCTCATCCTTTTTCTCGAGTGTGGTGTTTTTCTTCTTTCCTTAATTGAAAACAAATCCATTCATGATCTTCAAAGACAATCCTGTTGAAATAAACGATTTCATTAATGTTCGTCGATTGTGTACGAGAATAGAAGTGTTACTTATAGATGCTTCCTTTTAGGACTTCTTCGGAGATGTGTGAACTGTAGATCAAGAGGAGATTTAGGATCCTGTAAGGATCCTTTCACTATGAACTCGACTGCGATCGAAATGGAAAAAGGCGTCGACGCTGTGCCCTGTGCATCTGGTTGGTGCGGCAAAATAATTGAACGGCAGGGTTTAAACAACGGTAAGCAGTCGATAGATATATGTATTTAGATATATAGAAAATTGTTGTGTAAACAATATTCTTTCGTGTAGAATATGGTACTGCCACGCAAAGGCTTTGTTTCCAACGTGGACCCGACGACGGTGAGGAACGATGCGCGTTTACTGTGTGGAATTACAAAAAGGTATATATGTGCCTTTGTTTCGGAGATCTATGCAACGGAACAACGAAGCTAAGCATTCCCAATGGCTTGATTTTCACAACACTTTGCATTTTACTTACCGGTGGTGCATTTGAAAATATATATCGGAATTGAATCAAATGTATATTATTGTATAAAAAGTTCCTCGTATCTGTATACGGCGTGATATCTTCAATTTGCAATTTGTAGCCAGTATTGATTCGTTATTAAGATTAAATGGACGAGAAGTCTTTAAAAACATTACTTTACTTTTATTTATAACTTTGTATCTCATGTATGATAATCACAAGAAACTGAGGTATACATACATATTTTACATGATAAATCTTCGTGAAACATTGTACGGAGATTAGTAAAATATTTTACTATATTAATAACGAGCATGATCGTTTGTGTGTATATTGCACCTGCAAGACTGTTAAATACAGACTACGTAAAAAAAAAGAAAGAAAATGTAATTATTCTTCTTAGCTTTAGAATTTCCAAATAAAAAGCAGAATTGGTATTTTGAAATGATACTAAATAAGGATGGGGCGTACTTCGCGCTTGATATTAAAGAAATTTTATCTTTTCCTTTTACCAACATACGATGTTCGTTAGCCAATTTGTAAATAAATAACATTACTGTTGATAAGATCCTCTATGTTAGGTATCTTTCCAAAACGGCGAGGTCGGCCTTAAACTTTTCAATACGTGATCGTGAAGGCCGTTCCGTCTCCTTTCTTCTTGGTTTCTCAACAGTGCTCTTTCATGTGGAATATCGTCATAAAACAGCTCGCCTTGGCTATATAGATATTTTACAGCGAGCATTGCTTCCTCACCGGTCAATAGATACGGATCGTGATATTCTGAAATCATTATTAAAACTAAAACGAATGCCTGCCCGCTTTGTTTTTAAAATCAATATCCTTGCATTATATCTTTGCATTCTTTTAGCGTATTCCTGCCCGTGTCAAAATATATTGCTCACCAAGCCCGTTGGAAAAATCAGGTGTTTTATGCCTTGATTCTTGCGAACTATAACCGAGATCATTGATATCCACTGGTGGAATGAAAACGCCTACCGGCCACAGAGATTCAGCATTTTCCGGTTTTATGTACAGTGGTACAATGTTAGCTTTGTTACGTAAACGTTGTCCTGTGAACATATATAATTTGTTATAGCATATATTATATCCTAATTAACGAATATATTCATTTCATTAATAATTATTGGATTACGTGTTATTCTCTTACATTATTATACTTTTATCAAAGCGGAATATCGTACCAAATTCTTTGGGGCTTCCTGTTGTGCTTCTTCTTCCAATCGAGATGTAGGATCTTTGATCTATCGTCCGATCCCCTGATAGATAAGAATTTATATTGTTTGTGATAATGTGAGAGTTTCAACAATATGCTACGTAATTTCATTTATGAACTAACCATCTGTCGTAATACCGTGCTCATAAATATGCGGAGGGGAAATAAATTTCACGTGCACTTTTGAGAGGGGCAAAGCTCTAGTTGCTACAACCGCAACTAAGAAGACCACCGCCGCCACTTTCATCTGCAATTAAAATTCTCGGATATTCATTCGCGCTTATTACGAATCTCTTTTTGAAATCCAACTTTAAAATGTATTTGGAATTAAGCATTACTAATTTAGGCGTTTTTTTTTTTTTTTT